CCTGCCAGAGGAACTTACCTGGAAAGTATGGAATGTTCTTCTTTGCCATAAAGTATAGCAGAAAGGAAAATAGCCAGGAGCTTGTTATGGCACTGTTTAATATGCTGTGAATAGTGTTAATTATTAACATAACTCATTCATTTTTGAAAGAGATGTTTAGCTATTGATGTACTGTTATATGGGGGGGGGGGAAAGGAGGCACAGAAAGGCAGGTTATACCAAGCGAGGGGATATTCTGTTAGAAATAGGGGGAGAATGAGGAGAACCCTGAACTAATTCAGGTATGATGTGTGCATGAATTGTCATTAACATTAATAGGACTAAGGATGCACACGTCACAGAAAGAACAGAGGCTTCATTACATACAGCATTCTCTATCCTGCAGTACTATAAGCATTACTGAAATTACCATTACTGAAAATAATCATGTTCCCTTTATTTGAATTTCTTTGCAGTGAAAAGTAAAATGACATTTGGCGTCAAGATTTTTGTGGCATGAGATCAAGTGATCTTTTTTTCCAATAGGACTGTATAATATGCTAGTACAGGTTAATGGACAAGTAGTGAAATACTGTATATTAAAGATAATTTAGTGGCTTATTTCATGTATGCAGTTACATAGCATTTTCAGCATATGGACAGGTCTAAACACAGTAGAAGACAAAAGGCATGCCATAATTCAGTCTGCTTTCATGAATGGTAGGTTAACAGGAACAAAGAGAGTCTATAGTAGGATCAGCAGAAGTTTCATGGTAGGAACTTTTAGCCAACTGTTAAAAGGTACAAATAAAATTACTATATCACTTTGTTTAAAAAAAGTCCCATCTCATACATGCAAAGAATAAGCCACCTATGACTAGTTTAATATTAAAGAATTTGCATAGCCAACTCCCTGTGTTAAAACTTTAGCTATTACCATTCGCTGATAAGAAAATATCTGAAACAGTCACTCTTGCATATATTAATAAGAACTTACTTTGCTTTCTATATTATCTGCTCTATTGCCAAGAGAGAAAATGACATGCTAAATGGATAGTGGTACTATTTCTAAAGAGTGTAGTCAAATTTTATTCTGCCTAATTGCTTAGCAAAGCATTACCCCTTAATGCTTTTTTAACATGCAAGCGTGCGCGCGCGCGCGCACACACACACACACACACACACACACACACACACACACACACACACAGAGAGAGTGTTCTTTGGAACCCAACCAAGACAGACTCAAAAAGGAACCGTTATGAAAAGGAGATTTCTAGAAGTACTTGGTATAGTTCAAAATTAAATTATTACAAGTTTGTGGTTTTGATCTAAACCAGGGATGGGGGAACTGCCAAGCCGCCGGTGACTCCATTTCCCAGCCACCCTGCCCACATGGCTTGTGCTGGTCTCCATGGAGACCTCAGTTGCGCTGGCAGCATGCATAGCAGAGCAGCAGGGGGCTGCTCCGGAGCTGCCAAAAACGTGGGCAGCTTGCTCCAGAGCCACGATCTGTAGCCTGCACACTTCGGGCATGGGCATGCATGCAGGAGATCGTAGCTCTGACCTGGTTCTAGACAGGCTGTCACTCCTGCAAGGAGCCAAGGCAGAGCCACAATCCCCTGCATGCGTGCCCCTGCCCAGAGCATGCAGGCTACAGATATGGCTCTGCAGCAAGCTGCCCCTGTCCATGGGCCACACAGGCAGGGGTAGCTGGGAAATGTAGTTCCCAGCCAACTGGATCCGGCCACCTTCCCTGAAGTTTTAATGGTAGTTAGCACTATAACTTCCTGTGATCTGGAGTACACAAAGCTCCAATGCATCTTCTACACGTAAAAGCTCAACTGAACCATGAACAAGCTATGAGCTCTCCATCTACAATATCTAGGAGTCATACAATCATAGAAGTAGGGTTGAAAGGGACCTTGTAGATCTTCAAGTTGCGCCGGCAGCATGCATAGCAGAGCAGCGCAAGGGGCTGCTCCGGAGCTGCCAAGAATGTGGGCAGCTTGCTCTAGAGCCGCGATCTGTAGCCTGCATGCCAGTAGCCAGTCAAATGTCACTGATAAAGCTTCGGGGGGGAAGAAAGTTTTACAGATATACCAAGAAAAGAAATCTCAAGTATTAGTTTTCTCTCATCCTAGCCCAACAGTCAACAACACTTTTGGGCAGAGAGTGCCAAAAACAGCTACAACCTTGACTTACAAGATCTTGGAATGCCAGGGCAGACAATGGGGGAGCCACAAGGGACCCAATCCTTGTTGTGGCAGCACAGCCCAGCCCCTTCCGTCTGCCCTGGGGCACTGCCATGCTCTGGCACCCGTGCCTAGGGTTGCCTACCCCTGTCCTAGCCACACATCTACACTGCTAGTCTCTCTCTCTCAAAAAAAGTCACAGAACCAAAATAAATCACAGTAGCTATGAAAAGTCCGCTTTGTTTTTAAAACTTTCTGACTAGCAATCAGAAAGTTGCCTAATGCAAAACATGTCCAGTAAATCAATGTTCAAAGCTTCCTGATTATTAAGCTAATTTTTGTTACAGATTTCAACAAACCTTAGAAAATAATCCAGCATGTTGATGGAAGCCTATGCTTTGAGATCACAAGGGTGTAACATACAGATTCTTCTACACTGATATCATTTCCCTGTACAGAGGAAAATTGTTCCATAAAATTTCAATCAGATATCTGCCAAAGTCATATTTATAGTCATGGCTACTATCTGTTGTCAGGCCAAAAAGTATTAAAAATGTTTGTTTTTCTTCAATATATTATGGTTAATTTATCATCTAAGTGACATGTGTAGGATAACAATAGAATGGAAATACTAAAGCAAAATGCTATATTAGAAAAGGAAATTTTTGTTTTGTTTAGAAAAAATAGAAGCCACACCTGTGAGCTTGATGAATGGGAAGAAAATTCACGAGAACGAGGGGGGAAAGAAGAGCATTTCTGGAGTTAAAATAAACACTGAGATCAAGTGATGAAATGCTCAACAAATGTACTTATTTCTCTCCCTCAAGGAATGATTTAAGACATTGCACCAGACAGATGGATAAAACACTGGCATCTGTTTTTCTGAACTAAACACAAGACTTGTCCATCTATCAAAGCAGCAAGGTCCTTCTCTGCTACCAACAGGACTAACTGTTATAACATGGGTATTTTCTAGATGGCCACCTTAAAAAATAATAAATCTATGTCAGAGGGGATTGTTAGTGTCCAAATAATACTGAACATCTGATTGACATCTTTGCTAGCTCTATACATCCCTTTCTGACCAAACAAGGTACTGCCTTCTAGGTTAATAGAGAACACCCCAAAAGGCTACATGAATTAGGTGTGCAAAAAGACTGAACCACCCATGATAAGCACACAGACGTGAGGGTATAAAGCAACCCTTTTCCAGAAAGTAGAAGCAAAGCTACTTCGGAGAAGAGCAACTTTATATATATGCAGATCATCACAAGGCATGCCCTATTTTCTGATAGCTTAAAAACAGTATTTAAAAGATTGCTTTTTGGAAACAGACAGACAGACAGACCCAGGATGCACAGCAGGGGTTAACTGATTTCTAAAAACCAGGGTTTCACATTCAGAGTTTCTCAGCCTTTAGAAGCAGGCTTTCTAACACAACAAGGCCAATGGATAGACACACAAACTGAGAAACTGGAGGCATGTACCATACTGTTCCATAACACGAGATAAGGTGACACCAGCTAACGAGGCCTCAGAGCAGGGGGCCCGCAAGTCCCGGTTTTGGGAGAACAGACCAAATTAGGAGAAGGCCCGAAAAGAAAAAGAAAAAAAAAAAAGTCAGGATGTGCGCATGTGATGAAAGACATGGACATATGGCAACTACACAGAGACCAATCAGTGACAGCTACAGATGCAGAGTCATTAGAAGTCATGAGGAAGGAAGGAGAATACAAAAGCAGACTTGAGAGTAACAAAGGGTCCCATTCCCCCTTCCCCGCCCCATTCTCCTTCTCTTCAAGAGGGGTTCCAAGAAGGGGCCTGGGTTCAGGGTCTCTGTCCCTAGGAAGGGTCCCCAAAGCCACCATGGACAGAGGACACACCACCAGCTCATCTCATCCACCACACTGGAGGGGGGCTGTGGGCCTTGGCATCCCAGACTGACATCTGACACCTAAGAAAGCCTCAGAGTGAAAACTGCATCCTGACCAGATGCATCCTCTCTCTGATAACAGCCCTAGGATTGGTAGTATATAGAATTGCTTGACTGCTTGTATTGTTTCTTTTCTGTTATCACTGTGTATCAATACATTTGCCTATTATCAAATGGAAAGGTCATTGTCGATCTGAGGGTGTTCCCCCTGGAACAAGGCATCTGGATCCTAAATCCAGAGCCACCTTCTTCTAATGGGGAAACATTCCCTCAACCTCTGCAGTCACTAAACCTAACATGTTAATGGTGTTCACACTAATTCTACAGGAACAGAGATGCTATTAAACCCAATTACAGCTGTACGCATTTCAATTATAAGAACTACCTCTAATACAAACTGAATCTTAGCCGTTTGTATGGTGGAACTGGACAGATCATGTCAGAAAAAATACTTTAATGTGATGCCGATTACATGAAAGAAATTCCTTGCGACTTGGGGATATTAGCTTTGAGAATAAAGAAACCAGCAAGAAACAAGAAGGGGCCTTTGGAAGATGCTCCTTTTGCAAAAACAGCTTCCAAAATGATGAGATTAACTGGAAACAACCATAATGAAGGTCAAAGATAAGTTACCAGTACCGTGTCAAGTTCATATTATAAACAGATTTAAAATATGAACGCATGCACAGGCATTACAGGATTGAAAACATTCTATATTCCTTTTAGTCTTTCACTAATTTCAACTTGGAAAATTACACTGCATCCAGGGATGCCATTAAAAGACAGATTTAGATAGACAGACTCTCCTCAATAAAATAAAAAGCTTAAATTTATTGAGAATTAATCCTTCAGAAACACACAAAACATCTCTAGTGTAGAAAATATTGCTTTACCTGAACAGCAAGAGAAGATGCATTATCAGAAAGCAAAATTTGCTCCTCTGTAGAAAGAAAATGAAAGAACATAATTAAAAGAAATAATGCTGGTTTAGTTGTGTATACTTAAATAATATTCTAGGTTTTGGGTTTGTTTGTTTTTTTTATATATACAAATTTTAAAAGTCAAATATTTTACCAGGGAACATACACCCCATTAACATTATACTGTTGGACTAGAAAACTTGTGGTATGAATTTTAAATATACCAGGAATACTTCTGGAATTTCCTACCATATATTTTTTACCAGTGCTGTGCAATTAAAAACCATTATCCCCCCACTTCATAGACACGCACAAATGTGTGAATTTTATCCCAATTATTCCTTTCCCAATCAAAGTAAAATAGTATCTTCACAACTCCTCCAGCTAAAAAGTAAAAGCATTCAGGAACCTATAAAACGGCTTGCAGTTAATATTGCACACTGTGTCTAGGTCTGTCACACAAAAGAAAGATGACAAGTTCGCTGCAATAAAAATTCCATGCTTAGAAGACTAAGGCTGCTACCTATTAGTCTTCATTACTTTGCAGTCTTCTGACAACTGTAGCAGGCTGCTGAGCCCCAAATGGGGGCCATAATGTGATCTGATGATATATGAAGAGCTGCTAAAGGGAGCCTGAACCATCCTAGCCTATACATTTTAACAGTTCCTTTTTACTGAGAGCCCACTTTACCACAAGACTTCAAAAATCTGCTGCCTCAGCTATTGGTGCAGTAAATCTGCCAACTGTGCCTGCAACCACATCATTTTACACTGCCTACAGCAGCCAATATAATGAGTCAATAATAAACCAAGGACCTTATAGGCCATGAATAGCTGGTTTATATTGGCAGATGGAAGCACAGCTAAAACCTCTGACCAGACAAACAACACAAAGGAATCTCTTAACAGTTTCCTTGCAGTTAATTAGGCTACTGCATATTTCATGTGTTTTTAAAAATAAAGTCATTGTTAATTGCAAAAACTAGAAATACCCACCCTTCATTTGCTGATACAATGCAGCATTTTCAGGCCAAGGTTCTGCAGCTGTTGAAAGAAAAGGAATTCATAATTAAGTAAGCCAACCAACAATGTGCCAGCAGATGTGAACTGAACATGAATGTTACCTAAAGCAGAAACTGGAAATGTAGATGCACAATTTAACCTACCTTAATAATAGCCCATTCTTCCCTGTCCTGCTCAGAGGGAGTAAAAAAGGAAAAGGGAAATACCTGAATCCCTCCTCTCTCCCCCCAAATGGAAGGCTGAAACATCCCTCATATAAAAGGTATGTCAAAGTGATCTTGAAAATACAAAACTAAAGCAGTAATCCCCCCTTCCTCCAACACAGGAGAGTTCATGTATATACTCCCATCACAAACACACTAGCAGCTAGCTATTCTGCCCATTCAGAAGAACAGTAATATAAAAGCTAAAAGACAAAAATATTTTCTTAAGAACAGAATAGATGTACAGAAGTACTGGCACAGAAGGCACCCTCAAAACACAGCTAAAAGAATTTGTTTTGGGTCAAAAACCTTTGCCTTTTAAATGATGGATTTTGATTCAGTGCCATATAACAAGTCAGTAAGTGCTTAGGACCTTTAGGAGGCAGACACCCCGAAGACTGGATGCCAATGCAAGTGCCTCATACATATATTTTAGAGTCCTGGAGAACAGTCTTTACTTTTTTTTTTTTTTTTCCCAAATGTGTCAAGGGAGGGAAAAGGGGAACACAGGACAGAACATTTCATCTGAGGACCTGTGCTTGATCAATCAGTTATGCACCATGTAAATGTATGGGATGGAACATTATAAATCAGTACCAATGTACTAGAGCTGGTTTTGCTTCTTAACACTATGACAACAGAATGACCAATTTCTTTGTTAAACACATTTCAGGTATTGATTTTTTATTACCAATTCAAGTTTTACTTGTTCACAAAGCTGGCTAGCTGTGAACATTAACATTCTATTCACCAAACTAAGATTTTAAATCAATCAGGTCTATAAATGACTACACGTACAGCAAAGTAGAAGCCTGCCACCAACTAAGAAAAGGTCATTCTTTGTGTCACTTCGGCTGCAGAACTCAGAACTCTAAGGAAAATACTGCATGATTCTATAATTAACATTCTTTTCTCCTACTCCTGAAGTATTAACTTTAGATTTTATGGAAGTAGAACAGGACTGTAAAGCTTGTAATATGGTATACACAGTTTTACAAAGGTCACCACTACCCTTAACATGCACACACAAAGGCTACTGGAGCTATACCAATATGGGCACAAGAAAGCAACTAATCATATCCAAGTGTCATGAAAAAATGTTTTGTTTTATTATAGCATTTACTGTTTTTACACCCATCCATTAAAGTTCATGCCCTGGAGTAAAAATTCTTGTGATAGATTACTTTTAGCTATTAAGTTTGTGGCATCAGGCACACTACACTGTCTTTGTTTATTTAATAAGATTAGTGTAAGTCTATCTAAGTTACATGGCAAGAGTTGATGGAAATGAGAAAATTAAGTACACTACTACCATATGCAGTAAACCAAGTACTGCTTGCATTGCTATAAAAGAGTTAGAAGGGTGTTAGCAACCTTTGAAAACTGGCAATACCTCAACTATCTAACTATCATGAGAAATACTGCCAAAATATTGGCAGAGGTCCCCTCTGAATTCCCACCTCAGGTCACCCCAGCTGTACATAGGAACCTGATCAGTCAGGTTAGGAAGGCAAAGGCAGCTAAGCATGATGCTAGCCACATCTCTCCCTTGCATGCCACTGGCATACCATAGCCATATTAGCCCACAGGACCACATGTTTTCTCACTAAGAGGGTAGTAAAGCACTGACACAAGTTACCCAGAGAGGCTGTAGAATCTCCATCCTTGGAGGCTTGTAAGACCACGCTAGACAAAGCCTTGGCTATAATGATGTTGAGGATGTTCCTGCTTTGAGCAGGGAGTTGGACTATATGAATTTCTGAAGTCTCTTCCAACCCTAACTTTCTACTATTTTTACCTTTTCCAACTGCCAAAATAAGGGGCATCCTGAATCACATTTGTGCCAGCAGAATGCTGTATGGTATGCTGTATGGCAGCAGTATAATGATCATTTGAGTTTGTGATTTGGGCCCATTTCTAAATCCCCAAACTTTACTTGAACATCTGTAGTTTGGAATCATCAGATTCAAGCTGAAATAGAAATAGCCCGCCAAGTCTGGAGGTAGCTGAAATACTGTATTTTATAGCATACAATACACCCCAAGATGTGATACATACCACCTTGTAAAGGCAGAATGAAGGGTAGGGGGGAATTTCCAGAGTTATGGCTGCATAGAGAAGGGACAGAGCCTAACCTTCAGCTGACTCGCCTTTCTTTTTTCCGCTTAACTAAAGCTTACACCTTAGCTGCTAAAGCCTGATCTCCATGGTAGAGCTAAAAACCTTCCAGGTCTGGGAAACAGAAGGAGACAAATCAGGAGCAGCTAGCAAAGAGCAAAATTGACTCTAGAAGGGCTTCATTAGTGGACATCAAGCCAATTACAAAAGAGATACTATCATTTACACCTATGGAGCGAAGAAGAATAAATAGTAAAGCATTGGAACAGGCTACCCAGAGAGGTTGTGGAATCTCCTTCTTGGGAGGTTTTTAAGACCCATCTAAACAAAGCCTCGGCCAGGATGACATAGTTGAGGATGATCCTGCTTTGAGCAGGGGGTTGGACTAGATAACCTCCGGAGGTCCCTTCCAACTTTAATTTTCTATGATTCTATGATTAAGACAATTGACTCCCTCAGCTACCTGAATAGTAACACCAGAGCTGCTGTACTGCAGAGTAAGAATCCAAGCAGAGTGCTTCTGTTCCAAGCAGAAAGTCATCTTCCCTGCTTAATACATGCACCACAGTTTTGGGGAGAAGAAAGCTAAGTGATTGATGCAAGAAAATAGTGTTGAGAGAATAAAATTAAGTTAGTGGTTTCTATCATTTGTGGTTGAAGTTAAATATTGCAGTGTATTCAGACATTAACTTCATGCTAAGGTCCAACTGAGTTTACACCCTGTACAGTTCTGCATCCAAATACCAGCATCTTTGCACGTCTAAGGGAGACTTAATAACACTCCATCACTGAAGGTATAGGTTTGCCCACAGCATGTGGCAACTGGTGAAGGTAACATTTTTCTATCACCTATCTTATGCAATGACTGATGGTGCTGTTCAGAAGTCTACATTATAGACTTCGGTATAATGTTGTAAATATAAAGGGTTGTCATCTTAAGACCAGATACCAGACACTAAACTTCACTGTATGTATAGGCAACCCCACTTAACGTTGTTTCGTTTAGCTCTATTTCGCTATGACACTCATTTTACATTGATACCTGATTTCACTTAATGCTCAGCAAGCTTCGTTATAATGCTCGCGGTCACCATCTCGGGTCATTAAAAACACTTGTGGTCACCATCTTGGATCGTCTAATACTTTCGGTTTCGCTTAACACTCAGTTTTTCAGGAACCAATTGAGAGCTCTAAGCAGGGGTTGCCTATATAGTCCCTTGCCCTAAACTATAAGCAATGTAAAAAACACAGTACAACTTGTCAGAGGAAAGTGCAACAATTGTCTTAGGCTACCTTACTACTCGCTGGCCATGCAACAATACATCTTCAATATTAGATTAGACACAGCAAGGGCTATCCAACTGGGTTGCATGCAGGGGTTAACATGCACAGGTTAACATGCAGCCCTTAAGCTCCCACCCAACTGGTGCTGATCCCACCACTCAGTCACCTAAGCTGCCAGAAGTAACAAGGCTCTTATTCCCTTCTCCAGTGTCTGCTTCCTGCCTCCACTCCTCAGGGTGGGGCAGGGTGGAGACAGGCAGCAGGTGGGTGCTGTATATGCAGCCGGGGAAAATCCAGGCTGCCTAAGTCACAAAAAGAACCGAGTACTGAGAGTAAGTCTAGGCAGCCCAAGTGGCAGAGGAGACCCTAGGGGGTCCAGAAGTTAGACAGCACCAAGATACAGCACAGACAGGAAGTTTTCCATATACCTCAAACTCTGATCTACAGTAACTACCCCCAAAAGAGACAATAACACCGTAATTCAGTACCCAAATCTTAGCACCCACTACAGAAGGGATATAGACAAATTGGAGAGAGTCAAGTGAAGAACAACGAAAATGGTTAGAGGGCTGGGGCACATGACTTCTGAGGAGACTAAGGGAACAGGGCTTATTTAGTCTGAAGAAGAGAGAACTGAGGGAGTATTTAACAGCTGCCTTCAACTACCGGAAAGGGGGTTCAAAAGAGGATGGAGCTGGACTGTTCCCAGTGGTGGCAGATGACAGAACCAGGAGCAGTGGTCTCGAGTTGCAGCAAGGGAAGTTTAAGTTAGATATTAGGACAGAGGCAGGCAATTATTCCGGCTGGAGGGCTGCTTAATGCATTCTTTGCAATCTGTCAGGGCCGCAAGTAGCTCCACCCCTTGACAGTCACCCCATCCCCTGGTTGTGATCTTGGGACCGGAAGTCCCACCCCCTAACCCTGACCTTTTCTACCAGAAGTCCCTCCACTTGCCCCCACAAATATTCCTTTAGGGAAAGGCATTTGCCATCTTGCAACCAGAAAAAAAAACAAAATTATATACTGAAAAATCAAACATCAACAATAATATAATTTTATTTAAAAAATATTTTTGTCCTGACTTGTTTTTGTGGTGTATACACAGGTGACTGCATAATAGCTCAAAATGAAATCTTACTCTTGTATATTGTAGGGGAATGTGGAGGGATGTGGAGTATGGATGTGGGGATGATGGGATGTGGATTTGTGGGGATGTGTGGGGGTGGGTGGGTATGGGGTTTCTGGGGTGTAC